ATGATATTGTCTTACTGTGCGAGAATGCCCAAGCCATGCAATCCTCACTTAATCAGTTGACAATCAGTGTCCGTAGGTATGGTATGTGCTTTGCACCTTCGAAGTGCAAAGTTCTTCTACAAGACTGGCAGGATTCTAATCCTGTACTCACTCTGGATGGTGAGCAGATAGAAGTGGTCGAGAAGTTCGTGTATCTAGGTAGCTGCATAAGTGCTGGTGGTGGCGAGAGTGATGAGATCAATGCACGTTTAGTGAAAGCCAGAGCGGCTTATGCCAATCTGGGCCATCTTTGGCGCCTTCGTGATGTTAGTCTGGCTGTAAAAGGTCGGATCTACAACGCGACGGTGAGAGCAGTTTTGCTCTATGCTTGTGAAACCTGGCCTCTTCGAGTTGAGGATGTTAGACGACTCTCTGTGTTCGATCATCGTTGTCTCCGAAGGATTGCTGGCATCCAGTGGCAACACCATGTCAGTAATGCAGAGGTTCGGCATCGAGTGTTCGGTCACAGAGACGATAATGAAATTGGTGTCACCATCTTGAAACACCGACTTCGGTGGCTTGGACATGTTCTACGAATGTCGTCCCAGAGAATTCCACGTCGTGCATTATTTGCCGACTCTGGGACTGGTTGGAAAAAGCGGAGAGGTGGTCAGTATATGACATGGTGTCATGGTATGAAAGAAAGCTGCAAAGGGCTAGCTTCTGTTGGTCCTTCACGACTCCCTGGTTGGGGTCCGAGAGACGGGTAACGCAGTGGCTAGAGACGTTATCAGATATGGCTAAGAATAGAAGCCAGTGGCGATCGTGCTGTAACCTCTTACTTTCTTCATAAAAAGTGGTTGTATCTTCATTAACTGAAAGATCTCTTCTGATTGTACCTTTCCGTTTCCCCCACCATTGTTCTCTCTCTCCCTTTTTTTTTATAATTCCCCACGTTCATTACTTTTTTTTGTTTTCTCTTTTCTCCTTCTCTTCAAATTATCATTGTTTTGTGTGGCGCATATATATTTGGTGCCCCCCTGTACCAATATTTATGTGTTCAAATAAATAATAATAAATAAATAGTTCATGGATCACCTCCAGCATAGTTTACATTTTATAATCAGGTATTTAGTGAGTGTTTTTTACTTTATAACCATTAATGACTGTTGTTGTTTATATTTGTATACCCTAGACAAAAGAACATTATCTTCATTGATTTTCTTTTCTTTGCTTCACTAATAAGGATCTTGTGATGTAACAATGTTATTATCTATTTTCCCTATGTTTATAATGTAAGTGATATTTCGAATAAAATGCCATTTTTAATTCATTTTGAAGGCTCGAATACAGTCGACAATATCACCAACACAACTATCATCCCCATCAATTACAGCCACAATAATATTAATAGTACCGTACACTACATACGAACATGTAGAAGAATCTCATCTCTCGAAGGTACTAGTTATTTAATTTGTGTAAACTACCCCCTTCGGCTCCATTCAGATTTCGCATGCAATCCTACTGAAATTTAGTAGTGGTAATATTATTAATAGTAATGATAATGTTAGCAGAAGTAGAACAAGAAATGAGTTGAATCCCAACTATACCCGGTTGATAATATTTAATGCCTACTAATATTGCTAGTAATATACTAAAAATATTGATAAGCATCCCATTAATTCCTTCTGTCCAATGTAGTTAGTTTTCTTTTCTAATTATTGAAAAGCATTTTGGCATGTAAACTCCAGTTGGTTGTGTCTCTTTCTCATGAATGCTCTTTCGCTAAAAAAACGAAACCACCAAATACTATCCAAATATATATTATCATTTGAGATTTATACAGAGCTTGTTATTTTGTATGCTAGCAACTATTTTATTGTGATTCCCTTACTATTTTTATCATTTGTTAAATAATCAATCATTTCTTTTCATTGAATACTGTACTTTTTTTTGTTTTTGTGGTTTAAACTTCTATTCCTTTTAATTTATATGTGCTGTGCTGTAATGTTTCAACATTGGCTTGTCACTTACTCAGCACATGTTAATTATTACTATATAAAAATATTATTTGTATACATGACTGCTTTGGTATTCTGTTTGTCTACAACTTATGTTTTGAGCGTTTTTTCTAGTGCATCAATTAATACAAAATATATTTTATTTAATTACATCCAAGTGATAGTCTGTATTTGGGGGTTGTTGAACCTCTACAGTAGAAAAGTTGCTTACGCCTTAACCTTCGTACATTATTTAACTAAATAACCGCTAATCCTGTAATTCATCAACGTCATTTAGAAGTCTTAGGTTAGGAAAGTTTATTCCGACTTTCAACACAAAACGATACAACTAGAACACGGTGAACAGAGAAAGTCCTTATTATTTAGCAGACAATTATGGTGTATGTGAACAAACAATTAAACACTTATTACCTAAACTGGTAAGATAAATAAATGCCTAAGCTAACAAATGTTATTTCGACCGTGGAGATGTATTTAGAAACACTGGCGAATCATCATGACCTCAAATATCACTTTGTCAACTTAGATGGTTAATTTAAAGGTTTAAATGATCTAGACGTATAAAAGCCTATGTGAGCTTGATTTACTATTATACGTCACAGTTTACACCATGGACTGATCTTTGTTAAATGAATACTAAAAAAGCACTTTTTGTTCTCATCCATTCAGTGACGTAAATCATGAAAATAACTTCATCTTTATTGGCGTTTTATGCGCATATGCACAAATAAATAAATAACTGTTTCCATATTGTTCTTTTCTATTATTTACGTTAGCTATTTTAGTGCTTGAGTCCTTTGAACTTTGTTGATTAGTTATGTAAATAGTTCATTATTAAACTTGGCAGGCAAATTTGTCTCAGATAGTAAAGCTCATTTAATCAATTCAAGAAAATTTATTTTCTACTATCTTACTATCTATACCCGTTATTACCAGAATAACACTACATAATATTTCAATCGTAAAACATATGTGAATGTTACATAAAGTAAACTAATAAATATTCTGTTTGGTAAGAACATGCCAAAAGCATTTAATTTAGATTGATTTTGCTTCCCGATATAAAACTACTCATACATCATTAATATTAAAAGTTCTTACAGCGTTTATTCAGATTAGAAAGTAATAAGTTATATATTACTCAAGTCTTAAGTACTATTTTAAATTTCACTAAAGACAGTTAGTTGACACATCTCTATACACATTATTCAAAGCATAATGTCGAATCATTTCGAGACATATAGCCATTCATCATTTCAAAATATTTCTTGACTTGCATTCGTATCCTACGGTAAGCATCAATTCTCTAACGATTATAACTATCTTAGTTTATTGACAAATCTTAGCTAATACAGACTTTAGATCCAAATGTCTCATACTAATTGCTTAAGGTAAATTATACCACAATATCGGTTCATTTCATCTGGTGATCACATTGTAATTTAACTGATAGGATTCGGTCAACAATAATAGCTACATTGTCGGTTACTCATTTATGTTACCAATCCCTGTATGTCGTCTCATTTTGGATTTCTAAAAGAAATGCATGTTCATGGTACGAGTGTAAGGTAATTGCATCTCTTAATGGTGAGTTTCTAAAAATCCTCAATTCTGAAATCATAATTTTAAGAAATAGAATTTGTTTGACAATCTTTATTATTGTGAGATCTTCAAGGTCTTTGGCTAGATCTTTAGTAGGATCATGGATGTGTACTGCCAGGCAGTCCTACACTAGGATGAAACAACTGTTTAATGCCTCGTGGTTTTTAGATACTTGTTTAACTAAAATCAATTATTAATGCAAATTATGCGGTAGTTATGCCGGTTAGTCCGTTCAGAATTAGGAATTAATTAGTTGTGGTTAGCTTGAAGGGTTGGATGCACAAGCGTCAAGGTTTACCATAATTTTTCGCACATAAATCAGTAAACAAATGAATTATAAGTGGATATATAAGAGTTTCTCCGTATTTATTTATTACTTATTCCATCATTGTATGAAAGTTTACAGATTCTCAAAATAGGTTAACTTTTAGAAATGCATATTTAAAAAAACGTTTGAATACTACATTAGTGGTTACCTTAATTGTGATGTTGTATATATTGAGTGTGTATCTTATAGTGAGGAGCGTCCCATTTTTATCACGCATGTTATCTTTATCTCTTAAAGACTATGAAACTTATGTCCTATGTCTGATCTGATTTTATCCTGTTATTTAAACGCAATAAAGGAATTCTGAGCTAGTGTTTCCATTTTAATATCAAAACAGTGTAAAGTATGAACTAATCGGTGCAAACAAATCAACAAACCATAATATAGTTATTTTTAATAATACCATTATTATTAGTGTGGATTAGTCAGACTCTACATAGATGTTGATTCAAAAAGATCGAACGTCTGCCAACTCTTTATTTTTCTTAAATATTTATATTTTTTAAAATTATCTTCTATTTCGAATTAATCACTGTTCGGTAAAAGTAATTTTGGAAAGTTTTCATATTAAAATTTATCATTACAAATCCATGTTTTATAGCAATACACATTATCACTTGTCAACTGCTTATACAAGGCTACATGTAGTGTTCAGGGAATTTCATGCTCTAAATATTATTGATATTTTTTCGTTGATATCAGCTAATAAACTGTTGATTGTATTTATTGTATCCAACAATTAAGCTTCTTACTACTAGACTTTTAAAAGCATGTTACCCTACAAAAACCCCGGTCTGCTTTCTAACATTGAAATTTATATATTTCTGTTTACATCTTTTTATGGGTATATGTTACTCATATGACAAATACTTCCATTCAACTATTCTCTCCATCTCTATCTACATAACAATTATTGTTTGCGCATCCTAGACTTTGTGTATATGCGCGTTTTCGTTAACCGAATCCCACAAATAAGTCATTTTTATTTACCTGTTTTTATTTCGCCTCAAGAAGACCGAATACTGATTATTTTTTTAAAACACTTCTGGCTAATTCCTATGTTTTAGATCATCCAATTCATCCTCCTGGAAAAACTGGTGATCCTTTCGAAATAGACTATTGGCCTGAACCATTAGATGTTAAGATGGAATTTCGCAAGGGTATCATGCACATCGAAACATTTTCTGATTCACCGGACAGAAACCAGGTGAATTTAATAAATGGGACATCAGAACATAATCATAGTGAAATTGTTGATGTTGATCAATCTATGAAAAAAGACCTACCAGAATTCACTATACCATCTCTACAGACATTCTTCTCAGACTTTGATACAATACGTACATTTGTTGGAGATGGTCCATTGAAGTCATTCTGTTATCGTCGACTGACTTACTTGGCTTCGAAATTTCAATTGCATTCATTGTTGAATGAAGCTCGGGAATCAATTGAGCAAAAACGTGTATCACATCGTGATTTTTATAATATTCGAAAGGTAAATTACTTCAAATTATCAATAAACATTTTTTTATTTTATGAAATTCACCTAAAACTTTCGGAGTTTACTCAGTTCCCTCTTAAACTGTTTACTAAAGTTGCTCTATTATTAACTAACAGGAGAATAACTTTTATTGAGATCATAAACCGATCAATGTTAAATCACTATTAAAAACCCGGTTCACTGGACAGCCGTTTCGTCCTAGTATGAGAGTCTTCGGGAGTCCGCATCCACGGGACTCGAACCCAGAAACTTCCGTCTCGTGTGATCGCCTAATCTCCAGACTTCTGGGTCGGATTCAACGGTGTTAATATGTAACTTCAACCAATCCTCAAGAATCCAGGTGAATAGTTGGATTATTTTCATTGCTTAAAAATCTCAAATTAACGGAAGTATACCACAGTGTGTTATGCCGTCAATAAAAATAAACGATAGCATCTTTTCAAAGCAAATATAACAGAATAAATTGCTGGAGATAATTAATTTTAAAATTTTAGTTCATACAATCTACTCAGTATTGGGAAAACATTTCACAGATTCAGTTTATAATTTTCTTGGTTTGTTTATGATACACAGAAGAACAGGTTAGATATTAGCTTACAATTTTACAGAATGTTAGTTCAGCTTTTAACAGTTAGAGTCAGAGGAAAATGAACACAACCAACATAGAATTTAAAAAAACCTAGAAAGATATTGTGAGTCAGAGTGAAGAAAATAATAAAGATTTAAGAGGATTTTAATATTTAGACGAAGATAACTATTAACTACACCGGGGTCTTCTCTTTGGTTAATGTTGTATGATTTGTAAGCTTACATTACGGCTAGTCATTTTTTTCCAGGTTGCTCCATTCATTGTTTACATTGTAGATTGACCTTGGTTAGGCATTCATTAGGATCTATGAAGCACTAAACAGCTGTTTTATCTTAATATGAAACTCTTCAACAGTGCTCATCCATTTTAGTTTTTGCAATTCAAAAAACTTGAAGACTAAAAGAGTTTCAGTAAACTATTGCTTGGTATAATACTTGAAAAAAACACTTTTATTTTCCTTACATAAAGTCTTGAAAAAAGAATAACTGTAGTTCATAATAAAGAAGGTTACCTTGTTTTTTCGTTTGCCACAGACTCCTTACAAAAGAAGCGATATATATTTTTGTAGATAATTTTCATTATGAATTAAAATCAAATACGAAACCATTGAAAGTAATGCACAACAGTAGGGAAGTGTTTTCTTTACTAAACCACACAAGATCCAAGACAACACTACAATATTCAATCATTCAGTTAAATTCTGATGTCTCACATTTTCAAATTTTCGTTACTTTTGGGATATGAATAGGTGGTAGGTTACCATCGATTTTTATCAATACATAAATGATTTTTTCGGTTAGCTCTACAGATCCAAAATTCATACTATCATATAGAATCCATAGTAGTAGAAGAATTTTCTCCGTCTTACTTTCTTGTTATAATCATTTTTCTGAAAAGATATACAGTGGTTATATATATATTATCACCACCTCTAGTATATCTTCATATTATTTCTTTCCCTTGATGAAGTGAACGATGAATCTATTTACAATCGCTATTCTGATTAAGCTAATTTTTCAACTATATCACTAGTTATTTTGTTCACTGTCTTATGTTACTAAGTCAAATCTTCTCACTTAAGCATAGACGTATTAATTCTGATAAAGTACATATGTGTTCATACATAGAATAGGCAATCAAAAGAGTAGGTGGATTTTTCATTTCCTTATTGATTAATAAGTTAAAATTTAGAATATCTTTATAGGTCAACTGAGATTGTTCTTAAATGGTTGTTTTCCCCTAATTTTAATCTATAATTTAAATTTAGGTTATTGTTTTATTAGGTTTATTAAATTAAAATAGGAAGTTCCTACTAACTTGAAGGTGTTTACCGAAAAGGATTACCGTTCGTTGTGATTAAAAACATTTATACTATCATAGCCGTATTTCAGTAGGCTGGAAGAAAGTTGGAGGTGGACAAATAGGTACATGTCATCAGTTCATGAAACCATTGAGAATTGAACTGAGCCATGTTTATACATGTAGACTACTTGGTTGGGGTCAGCGTGATTATCATCTATGTTTGGAGACTTTGAATGACATGGCTCAGAATCGTTTGCTATGGCGCAGGTGCATTCATTCTTTGCCTACCCTCAAATTATAAGCTTCTCGATTTCCATACCTCTTTTGTTCTTATTTCACTAATTTATATTTTCTTGAATCATATTTTTGATGCTTAATCTTTCCTATTATCACTGATACTGTTACTAACTCTACTATTCTGGAATTTGGCCTATTTCGTCTTTTTGCACCAATAAGATATGGCTACTTGAACCGATGTATATACCTTACTTACTTACGCCTGTTACTCCTAATGGAGCATAGGCCGCCGACCAGCAATCTCCAACCCACTCTGTTCTGGGTCTTCTTTTCTAGTTTCATCCATTTCTTATTCATTTTTCTCATGTCTATCTCTATTTCCCGGCGTAAGGTGTTCTTTGGTCTTCCTCTTTTCCTTCGGCCTTGAGGATTCCATGTGAGGCCTTGTCTTGTGACGCAGTTCGGTGCTTTCCTCAATGTGTGTTCTATCCACTTTCAGCGCTTCTTTCTGATTTTTTTCTCCACTGGGGTCTGATTTGTTCTTTCTCATAGTAGGTTGTTGCTAATAGTGTCCGGCCAATGGATCCGAAGTATTTTTCGTAGACAGCTGTTAATAAACACCTGTATCTTCTGGATAATGGCTTTCGTAGTTTTCCAGGTTTCCGCCCCATACAGTTGCGAATAAATGTCTCCCTTGTTGGTTAAAACACATTAAACTTTCAACCATTGGGTTATAGTCTCGGACCATCGTAATTCAAATTAAGTGGCCAGGTTGTATTTGGTGGTAGTATATGAACAGTACAGTGGTAGTATTAGTGCCTACGTTACTTGGCGACTAGTTCAGGTCTGTAGTAGATTATAATTTAAAATTTTCACATTGAAATTTTATAAAGGACTAATGATTAGGGAATTGTGTGAATAGTTCTCCTTTGCATATCGTTTTAGATTACATTTCCTGTTTTGATTTTGAATTTCAACTATAGATAAGAAAATTATTAGGATTAGTTATTAAATCGGTAAATTTCGTTGCTTTTTATGTATTCTATAGAGATGCTTTGAAGTACCTTCATATTTTAGTTAGAATATTGTAATATTAATCTACTAGCCAGTATTTTTTTATTTTTTAAACTTTGGGAAACTATCACATTTCAACTTCCTCTCTCCACCTGAACACACAGCTAGTGATATTAACCATTTACTTAAATAGATGTGAAGTTTGAATCATCAATCACTTATCATTACATTTTGTTAAGTTGATAATTACTTATATCCATTACTTATTCGTGGTCTAAGTTATCAAAACCAACAGAATAATTTTTGCTTCTCTGAAACAGATTTTTCTTGATATGATTTTTAACAGGTTGTGAAATGTCAACTAACCGTTTAGCGATCAAGTGATAAAGAGATTTGTTCACACCACGTATAGGACGCAGACGGACATTATTCATATGAACTTAGTATAACAGAACCCGATCGTTATACCAAGACTATATGGACTCTCAAAAGTTCATAAGAATAATGTCCCTCTACACCCTATACTTGATATGAACAGACTTTTCTGTTCATCCGTTTCATATTCTTTCAATTTTATTTATATTACAAACTATTCAATTATATTATACTCTATTTAATTCACATTGATATATTAAACTATAAGCCCAATCGTTCATAGTAACAATAAAAAAAGAGATTATTTTCATAGGTGTTTTAATTTTGTAATCAATTGAATTGTTTTTCATAATTTTTATAATAAATATTTCATATTTACTATGATCTAACATTTCATTTATTGATTTTGTTTCAGGTTGATACACATATACATGCATCATCATGTATGAATCAAAAACATTTACTACGTTTTATCAAGAAAACAATTCGTACTAAATCAGATGTTTATGTATGTGAAGATCCAAAAACTAAAAAGCCTATGACATTAAGTGAAGTAAGTCATAGGATTATTTCCTATTCTGTCTATTCTATGTCTTTATAAGTAAATTGTTATAAGTTAGTGTAATTGTAATCAATAAATTAATATTCTGTTGAATAGTTTGTATAGATTTGTTCAGTATGAAAATAAATTGTGTTACGGATTAAGATTAACCGTAAAATTAGGGAACATTGGTTTTGTGTGTTTATATATGTGTGTGTGTCAGAGATCTGTTTTGTAGACTCCTGAACTACAACAAATCATCAAACATTGGTCGCGTATTTTGTTGAGAATAAATACAGTGTACCAGGTGATAAGTTAATAAGAATGTGAATCTTTATCTACTCATGTATTAAGTATCCATAATAGTCACCTATCTCAATGTTTGTAATGAGTTGTAAATAGGATATATACATATATAACTAAAGTGGTCTACCGACTTATAGTAATTCGACAGTCAACATAGCTACCATGTGTCTTCAATAAATTCTTAACCTAATGGTTTACGAACACTGTTTTCTCCTGTTTGCTACACGTACTCTAAATATAGGTTGGTTAAAACATTCAATATTGTTACTAATTTAGTAAATGATGTCTTTTCACTGTTGTAGATTAAGTATTGGCTTTTAAGAATTCCACGAATTGGTGGGTTTTGAGGTATTAAGAGAGAGACTACATTTATTTTCTGTTCGTATAATCTCATACGTTATTATTAGATTAATCTGCCCAGTCATAGAATAAAATGTGTTTCACTTTAATGTCGAAGAGGTCGTGTGAATTCCTACCTATTCTTCTAAATGATTTGTTATTATGTATGTTTTTGTTTAAATGCAATGAATGTACTTTAAATTACGTTGATTTCCCATATGAATAAATTTTCGAATAATTAATTAAATGTTCTATTGTTTATGAGGTCGAGCTTGTTATCAAACATCCAGTCAACTGGGTGTTTCTCAATTTATATTTGTTAAAAAAATCGAATCAGTTACATTATATGTTAGAAAGTCAAAATTATTGTGTACTTTCAAATAACTGGGCGTTTCTCATATTGTTTTATATAAGAGGAATATATAAATAGGAAGTTGCTTGAATAAATTCTCATAAGCTAGAAAGTACTTACATTTTATGTAATATTGTTGTTCAATATCTGCAGAATTATGCACTGGATTAGTGGGATTATAACAAACAGAAACCTTTTAGATAGTGAGTAATTATTCTCTCCTTTTCCATCTTACAATATCTTATGTCACACCTAACCTATGACAATTATTTGATGAAAAAATATGGTATGCAACAGTATATACATTTCTAACCAATATATAACAGTATGAAAATAATTGAGTTTGATATAAGTCTAGTTATTATTATATAAACTACTCGATATAAAATGTCCAAACCATGTAAAAATATGGATTAAAATAGGAACTATTGGAATTTTTATTTTATTAACAGATGACTGTATTAATGAACTAGTTACATTCATGATTATTTAATTTTTATGATTATTTTTTAACTGGAGATTATCGACTAATGAACACTGAAATGACATCTAATAAACTGATAATTGTACATTTCGTACTAATTCATCAAGCTATGTGCTCGAAAAATAGTGATTTAATAAAACAGAAATGTTGTGGATTGTACGTTTTAACAAAAAATTTCCTATTCACTAGTATAGCTGGCGCGTTCAATTATGTAGTTGATAATACTAAGAGTTTTGTTTTTAATTACATAGCACATCATTTTGTCTTTCAAACTCATTGTAGATATCAAAATAAAGGATATTTATGCACTAATAGGTGTAAAGTTCGAGACATGTTCCATTCCTATGGGTTTTAGCAGCCGAATCGTATCATTAGCCATTCATACGGGATTGGTGTTCATAGGACGGAGTACACGAGAGTTTACTTCAGTGATGAGTAAACTTCATTATTCAAGGGTCACATCATTGCGAATGCTACATACGTCGTCAACGGGGTCATACACGCAAAATAACATTGAGATGATATTTTGTTTGAAACTGTCATTTTTAAGTTGTATTATTTTTTAAAAAATACTGCCCTATTATCTCAGCTTTTCATACATCCTAATTTCCTGTTAACGTTAGCGAGAAAATTACTTGTCTGACTGATTTTCTTCAAACATTCTACATTCACCTTCGAGGATAACAATTTCTTTTCGTTCTTTTTTGAATTAAATTTAAATTTTCTGTAAAAAGATAGAGTGGTTCCAAATGTGATTTAAATAAGTATGCTAGCGCTTCGTTTATCTAGTTTCATTTTCTAAGTAATTGAGAACAGTATTAGCCAACCATAAGTATCGTTTACCTATTCTGTTTTTGAAATGATATAACACTTGACGAATAATAATCAGAAAGACATTGTATAGACTTATTTTAATCACTTCGGTTACATTTCTCGCTAGGAATGGTTCGCCTACCCGTAACTATACTTAATTATTGAGCTGAATTATTCTTTTTATTATAATTTGTTTTGTATATCCAAAACAATCTTTACAATGAGTGCAAGAAATATCACACTAGATGTGTCGACAAAATTATTGATCATTTGTTTTTTCTTTATTGAATTGTAATTGTTTTGTTTGTTGTTTCATGTTTTTATATTACAGTTGATTGATAAAATTGGAATTACACTTTATGATTTAAATATTGACAATTTGGATGTTCACGCTGTAAGTTAAAGGTTCAATGGATTTAAAAGTTATTCTCTTACATATTTTGAAATACACTAGAAGGAGATTTTACTTTTTCCTTAAAATATATTTAAAATTTATAGTTGGATTTTAGGTGGAAATATTTGGTTTATAAACTGCCTCACTGGAATGTCTTCAATGTGTATATAGTTGTTTGAGTGACGTAAACATTTAACTGTCACTAGTAAATTAATGGGTGTTATCATATCTACGCTTTAAAATGGTTTATCAACATATATCTATGCAAATGATACTTCTGAATATAGTTAGTTAGGGAGTCAGTCAGCCATCATCAACATATAAACTGATAATCAAGCCATAGTTCACTAAAATGCAATTCATTGGAAATATATCTAGAACAGTTTATCAAGTTATTTATTTTTATAATTTTTAATCACAGTGATGAGTAATTGACTCTGAATGACTTCAATTGTGTTGGACTTGCCACTGATTAACCAATAACCCACTATATGAACACAATTTGCAAATATCTTAAGACTGAAAGGTTACAAATAACACAGATAAACAATTATCTGTGGCACACTCCTGCTGCCATTCCTATAAGATTAATACAGTTCGAGAATAAATCGAGATGAAGATTAAAACAAATGACTTTTCAATCAAGATTTAAAGTAAAAGATCGGATACAACTGCTTTGTTGTGATTCATATTGTTCCATTTCATTCTGACTCTCTTACTATAAATGACAATTATTATGTGGACTTAAACCTAGAAGTTCTCGTCTACCTCCATAGATCAAATCGACAGTTGATGAATTAACAGATTAATACCATGTATAGATCCTCCTTTAACTATTTTAAAGAGTTTCAAAGATTTAAATTTTAGTGTAGTATGAAAAACGTATGTGAATAAGTCGTGTTACTTGATTTATAATTTCTAAGATGACAGTTTTTTATGAAGGGCGTATAAATCCACAACTTATTATCCTATCTCATTCGCAGTCTTCATTCTTTATCACTATTGCAGTTTATCCTTTATTCATAAAATCGTATGAAATCGAATTTTCACTTAATTTATCGTATAAATTCGCCAAATTGTATCATAAAAACATTATTACTATGATATTTACTAAGCTGAATTTAATATCACCGTATGCTTAGATTTTCTATGACTTCAAGTTGCTCACCTTGTAATTTATAGTTTATGAATTCATAGTGTTGTTAAATAACTAAAATAAAGGTTCGTCGATTGTATAGATAATATTACTGTGTATAATTTTCACTTAAACGACGGCATATGCATGCTAGTTGTGTATGCGTCATTTAAAAGTACCATTCTACTACAAACTATATGGTTAACCTTTTTCAATCACAATTTTTTGGCTTTCATAACAACTTTAGGAATTTGTCTCATTATAAGAAAGAATTTAAATTATTCAATTGCTAATATTTTAAACTGAATTTTGATCTGTCTTTGTTGGGATATGTGTGCATCCTGCGTGGATTACCTCGATGTAGCCATTTAATATTTAGTCACAAGTTTTTTCTATAGAATAGATAGATTATAATTACCAGTGGGACCTGGAAATTATATTTTTCCTTATTTAGCACTCGTTAGCTGCATTTCACCGGGACTCGAACTTATACGTTATCCACTGAATTAGAATAACTACGGACTTGTTCAACGGGATATTTTTTATTTGCATGAGAAAGGCTTTGAACTGTCCTTGATTTAATTTTGGTTAGTTTTTGTTGGTTAATGTGCATCTTGAGCGGAGTGCCGTTACATAGCCACAACTAGCTACAGTCCACCTGTTCTTCAAAACACATTGAAAACTTTGACTAAACTAAACATATCCATTCACTGTTCATCAATTCTCTCTACCATATCAATTCATCCAAATGTCAATTACACTCATGTTTGATTACTCATTAATTTTTTTTTATTGATTTGCAATATGATATCACTAATTGAAAGACTCGTTTTCAACTATGTGAATTGTACTACTCTCGTAACAAGAGTAGTACTAATTCATACGTGTTAACCTGACAGCTATGTAGTTGATCTGAAATGAATAAATACTTAAGCAAAACTTATTAACAATTGAACTTAATTAATTGAGTTGCCGTAAATCCTTTGTACTAAGTTAAGTGATGATTGTTGATGCAGTAATATTAAGAAGAGAATGAACGTATGCTTCCCTAAGTGATATTTGGATGTGTTAGTGTTTTGCAGATAACTCACTATTTGTAGAGTATAGGAACTGGTGAATCGACCCAAGGTGCGTTATATGTAAATATATCACAAAACGTTTATTTGGTAGAAAAATTATATATTACTTGACTGAATTTTTATATTTTTGTCTCCTATATATCAATTCCCAAACAAAATGGATCAGTTAATGGAACCCTGAACCATTAGTCGTATTTCAGACTATTTCTTTTAATGTTACATCTCATCCCGTTAGCCTAAGTCGTAACTATCTTGTTGTATAGTTTTCAGTCGAAACTCTCATCGGTCTTTGAAGCTATAACCTAACTATTAGATTTACTTATCGTCCCACTTGATATCAACATGATGAATGTTTTCAGTTCTAATTGAAAAATTGAATTTGTCAACTGACATTATGCCTTTCAAATCAAATGAACATACATGTTCAAAACTTGTTATTACATCTATAACATAATGGTAAAGTGTTGAGTCATTTAGACTCAATCAGAAAGCTAAATTCTTATATTTTCTTAGTCTGAACATTTGACTTTTCTTGAATCCATTGTTCTTTGTTTGGTAAATAAACATATACGAATGATTGTAGTCTATTTTCGTTGTTTGTAGGAAGGTGGAAATTATTAGAATAGTTGAATCGCCTATAAGTTTTAAGTATGCAGTTCGTTTTAGAAGGTTGATTCGTTGTATCAAATAGATCTTAAAAATTATGTATGGATATAAATCTGACAGATTATTTAAAGCAAATGTATATTGGTGTTTTGTTTTCTATCTACTCGTAGAATTTCTAAAAGAATTATATGTTCTTTGGTATTTACATAGTTATGACCACGGAAAAACTGCCACTTGCTCCCTTTTACAGCGGAACAAAGCTAGTATATCTCGTTGTAAAATAGCGGACAAGATCGCAGATGAGGGTTTATCATATACCACAAACAAAATCCACAATAGTTACAATTAGTTATCTAATATAACTATTAAAAAAATGCATGATTTACGTATCTGGTCAATAGTCAATTTCAAACACTTCGAACTAAGCAGTACTTGGCAAAAATCAATCCGTCAATGCATTTTATGACATCGATGGATTCAACTGTTTTACATAACAAACATAACTAAGTTACTAGATTATAAATCTGCTACTTCCCGACACTTCACTTAAATATATATGGTTTACAGTAATAAAATGATACTAATCGAGTAATAACAATTTCGGAAGTGATTATTAAAATAACGTCGAATAGTTAATTAAGTAATTAGAAGGAGGACATGTTTATAAGCAAAGTAATTATTTGTAAAAATTAAAAACGTAATTAAGTAGTTGTCAAGAGGATACTAACTAACATAGTGTAAGAACACCAAAATGAAAGAAGTTTAGAAAGTTTTGAAAGAAGACTGTATTCAGGCTCAGCTATAAACTACTTCATTATCTCTGATCAAGGTGAAAAGAAGGATTTTATTCCGACAAATGATTACGGTGGAAACTGCCAATTCGTTTTGAACATCAATGGAACTAGTAACTTGTGCTTTTTCATTATTCTAGGGTTATTAAAGCTTTAATTTTTCTTCATATAAATCGTTTTTCTGAGAACCAGTGATCTGAAAATACGATATCATCTACTTGAACCGAAAATTGCAACCACCGATCACTAAAATAATAGTTAATCACTTTCGTCTGGGTGAAAAAATTCCAGTTTCAGTCTTTCTTAACTTTAATGGTTGCACGTCTTTATGTTTTAAATACCATGAGAACATTTTAAAAATTATATATATATATATATATATATATATATATATATATATATATATATATGTATATATATATACCTAAATGCACAATAATGGCATATCATTTGGTGAATAAGTGTGTTTCTCCTTAATTTTTATTAAATGTCTAGCTCGTCATTCTTTGTTACACTATATCGTAGTCCTTTTTCACTTCTGAGAAATGGCGATTGGCTCGGTTTTTATTATGAAGTCACGTGCTTTTCTCTACACTAAATCGTAGACATTGCTGTCGAACTAAACGTGTTATTGGTATTTAAACAAGACATACTACTGTTCATTAGTTTGGCAATTTTTCTTAGTAAATCATGTGTTTATTGTCTGACTCCTCTGGTAGACATACTTAGCAAGTCAAATATTATCGTGATGCGAATGTGACTAGAAACAACTTAATTTTGTGAACGAGACTATTAGGTGTACCTGTTTATTGTTGTGCATCCCTGAAGTTTGTTCTGTCGCATAGTGATGTTGATTTTCGTTTGTTGCTCTCACTTTAGCTTGTGTACTGTGACTGGAGAAAATGATTCATACAATATTAATATAAATAATTATTATTCCTTTTTACGCATGTCACTATTATCATCCACATAGTAGTTTAAGTAATTATTTTTCCAGATCTTTTGCTCTAATGCATAACTATCTAATTTTTGACTGAATATTTTTGTTGACCATAAGGATCGTAACACTTTTCATCGATTCGATAAATTCAATGCCAAATACAATCCCATTGGTCAAAGTCAGCTACGTGAAGTGTTTTTGAAGACCGACAATTACATTAAAGGCGTTTTCTTTGCACATGTTCTGAAGGTAAATCCGTTTTTATTATTATCTTATCGTCTGTTTAGTTTTTACTCATTCACGTTAAATTTATTCAAATAAATAATTAATAACACTTTTATATTTCTATGGTTGAAATCATGAGTAAATTGAAGCTATACCACCATGGAAAACGTGGAAGCACTTCACGGGCGTTTCGTCCTGGTATGGGACTCCTCAGCAGTGCTCATCCACGATTTCGCCCCCCTGGAGTTCTAGTGAGAAGCCGTGACCAATGGAGTTTAATTGAGTCAGTTGTGAGGCAGTAACTCACTGATGACAACGGTGGATGTGTCGCTCAATTTTGTGGACTAGTTGAAGTTAGACATTAAGTGAATTGGATGCCGCCTTAGTGGTCGAGTAGTTAAGCGCTCGCGCACGAGACTGATAGGTCTTGGGTTCGAATCTCGGGATGTGGTTTTTTTATAGAGTCCCGCACTAGGACAAGACAGCCATCCAGTGCTTCCAGGTTTTTCATGTTGGCCTAGCTTCAATTGACTCATGATTTCAACTATATAATTTGCTAAAATCTCCACTAAATCCCTTCTGATACTTTTGTATTTGTAGAGATAATACTTATCTTTATATCACGATTACTATAAGATAGTTTTAATAATATGCCCTATTTGCTGAATAAATTTTATCATAATTATTTAAACACAAACCTATTACTCATCAAATAAATACCAAGATGAAATGCCATAGAAAGTAGTGTGATAATATTATATTAAATTAAGTGAAATTTTCTTTTAATTAATTTATAATTTTTCACGTAAGGGGCGAACGAAAGCTGTATCAAAAGTTACTAATTTGAAACCTTGAATGGCACATCTTGAATTCTCAACGTTTTTCCAATTTCACCTTATATTTCACAAACATTTTGATTTGTCAACCATTAAATTGTCCTATTTTATGGTAATTCCTATGTTTGGATTCATATATGTATATAACATACTTTTTAAGCTTTGATATCATTCCGCTAGTGTTTCACTATCAACCCAGATAACCTCGTAGAGTCCAATATGGTGAAGTTAATATGTCGACTTAGGTCTAGTGTACTCATCTTTTTGAAGTTTTATTGTTCTATCGTTCTTCTTTCCATGATTTGCAGTACCAGTGACTACTCAACGACGCCTCAAACGAAGATACAATAGCTCTGCTCTATCCCTAGCTCCAACTTCTGCAAATCACAAATATTGAAAGGAAGATTTATTTGGTAAAGACGACAGTAGTATCAAGTACATTTGAGTTTATTCAGTTGTGTACGGATTAAGTGATTATTAGATACAGAAATTGTTAATCTTAACAGTTATTTAAATACAGAATTAAAAGTATATTAATGAATATCATAAGGCTAAATTGAAAATTCAATGAACAAATCTTACAGTGATTGACTTATTATTGAACAGAAATTGTCTTACATATCAAAATGTAGATTTTATGCTTAATGTCTTTTATTTAAGTACGTAGCATTTTTAACATCATTTATCATTAATCTCTCTAAAACTCCAGGAATTTCATCTTTATGCTGGTCACTAGTGTGCACATGATTATTATCAGCATGGGGATTTGTGGAGATTGCAGTATTTTTAAAGTTGGATGCACGAGTCCATCTAAGCCAGATCGCCATCGGAAACCTGGAAGCACCGGATAACCGTTCCATCCTATTATGGGACTCCTCAGCAGTGTGCATCCACGATCCCACATGCGGGACTCGAACCCAGAATCTTTGGTCTCGCGTGCGAACACCTAACCTCTAGACCACTGAGCCAGCATTCAACTATAATCTTCACAGATCCTCGTTCTGATAATAATTATTATATTTTATCATTGAAATTTCATGTTAAATATTTAATCGAATAAACTTTATTTGTGTTGCATTACATGTTTATTTCATCTTTGTTTAGTTCTCCTTTTGAATAGTTTATACTTTCAATCATTTTCATATTGAAAATTTAAATCATACAGTGTCCCAGTCATAATTTTAGTGTTTATCCTCATTGAATTAGAAAGTCACAATTTAAATTCGTTAGTACCATCAATAATTATTGTTACGACTTTAATGTTTTTTCACAATTAATCGTCAGTTAGTTCAGAGCACTAAGTCAAATGACTGTTGATCGTTTCGACTTTAAACTTTGGTTGGTATAACTTTATTATTATTTTATTAGTAAAAGATTTTACGTTAATACTTTTCGACTTATTCGATTGGATTGTTTCTCTTTTAAATTATTTAATAAATAGTATGATAATGCATTAGATCATTGAACTTATTTTGTTATCTTATCATTCAAGTGCATTATTATTCTGAATCTATTGAGTCCACATACTGGTTTATTTAGTGTATCTATAATTTTTACTATTTGACAGATTACATATTTGATAGTTTTTCGACTGGTTGTATTCAAAAGTGTTTTGTTTTCTGTACCTATCATATTTTCATGAATAACGATAATAATAATATCAGTGGTAATGTATTTATATTTCTCTGTAAGTCATTCTGCCTCTTTTTCCTTTTCTCAAATATCAGGAAGTGTTCTATGACTTTTCTGAGTCTAAATATCAAAATGCTGAACCACGTCTTTCAATTTATGGTAGATCTATCAATGAATGGGATAATTTGGCTAAATGGGCTATTGATTGTAAAGTTTATTCTGATAATATACGTTGGTTGATTCAAGTGCCTCGTCTTTTCGATGTTTATCACTCCAAAGGATCAATGAAATACTTCCAAGTAAGTTCATATATTTACACATTGTTAATACATCTTTTAGTGGCCCGTGATCTGACTCCAGTTCGATCGGACAAATAGTCCTTATTCAATGATTGCTGTCGAAATATACTCCCTGATTATTCTCGTATATTATTATCGACTTAAATCGCGTTAGTGAATAACGGAATAATATAAGCCGAATACAAGAATCGATTTCGAATACATATATTTTGTACACTCACTGACCTGGACAGGCAGTTAGAAGAACGAAGCGAAGGAAGAGAAGATAACGAAACAAAATGACGCACAGTGGAGAAGACGTGTGAGCTAACTCAATCTAACCAAGCGTTAATCATTATTTATAGTCACAGAAAAATAAGCTACAGATATGTGATGATAGGATATGAAGTGTACACATATGCGCTCATATAAATACAGCCATGCTTGATAAGTGAGTAATTAACAAGGTCGAAATGTGACTCAAGAAGTATGGATAGATTGGCCTGTCCAGAAACTAGAATAAGTTATTTGGGCTTAACATAATAACCGACATTACAACATATACTGTAAAGTCAATAACAATGACTATGAGCTATTTACGAGCAGCTAAAATGTTCCACCAAATTATTAACATGGTTTAGTTTTTTCAAAACAGAAAAAATATGTGAAAATGTTTTCAGTGAAAAAAGACAATAAAATTAATTAAATTCCTGTAATCGAATTGACATAAAATAAAATAATTCAATATATTAACCTTTTCCTATAATCGAATAGTTTCTATTACATAAATTCCCCAATTTCCTGTTAGTAATGAATCGTACTTTTAGCAAAATATAGGTCATTGTTTTTTTCTTATATTTTAAAGAAAGTTCGATTAAATTACCCAGTTGATCATCAGCTGACTGGTGAATAGTTCATATTACATTCTGAAACATTTAGACTACTAATATTTGACCACAGATGTCTTAGAAATATTGCTCGCATCTCCTGGAATCACCAGGTAAGTAATAGTGAGGTTAGGCGCAGGGTATTAGGGAACAGTGGTAAATCAGTTGATGAGGTTGTGAATGTTCATCGACTGAGATGGTTGGGCCACGTGTTGCGTATGCCTGAACACCGATTACCACGACGCGCAATACTAACTGTTGTTGGGGATGGTTGGAAGAAAGTTAGGGATGGCCAAACCAAAACGTGGCATCAGTATTCAAAGTCACTAACTTCTAGTCTGAGCCATGTTGGTAGATGCAGACTACTTGGTTGGGGTCTGCGTGACTATCGTAACCAATGGTTGGAGACTGTGGGTGACATGGCTCAGAATCGATCACAATGGCGTAGATGTATACACTCTCTGTCTTCCCTTAAACTATGAGAATAAAATCTCTTCAGATCTTTCTTTCTACGAACTAATTCTTTCTTCCTGTACTATCTCCTTATATACAATCTTTCCTTTATATGTTACACCATTGAGTTGATTGCTTCTATGAATCCGGTGTTCATCTTGTTGTGCTAATGAGGTGTAGCAAATTGGACCGATGCATATATGTGCCTGGTCCTACGTTGTAACTGGCTGACTGACTGACTGAAGGATATTAACTTAACTATGACATAATGACCTAAAATGATAAAAAAACACAGTACATGCCATATGGCATCAACTATGTTGCAAATATGACAATTGCTTAGCTATGGCATTCTTTGATCATCAACAAATATTGTGAATTGACTAAAGCTGGAAATAGTGAACTATTGGTTTTAAATTCCTTGGTTAAAATATATCAGACTCCTTCCTGAGGTTCGAAGACCATGTATTCTATTCTGTTCTTTTGGGGAATGTGGATTATTGATTTACCAATTTAAAAAAACAAATAAACTATCATGTATACAATAAGATAATAAATAATTTATTTAAATATCTGTCAATTGTTTTAAAATACATACACTCATAATAAGTTTGAATTGAATTTTGGAAGGGAAATAAAGCTTGTAATAAGATTACAACTAGTCAGTGCTTATTATATTGAAGTGGACGGAAATTCTAGTTGGGAAAGCCAATTTATTATTTAATACATAATTACAGATTGGTTCTGTAATATATGAAAACCATACATTAAATACATTACTTGCATATCTTCCTTCAATTGTCTTTTACATGCTTCATTATTCTTTCAGTTATGTTGTTACAATTGACCCCTATTTACATTTCTGTTCTCTTTAATTCAATCTACTTAATCTTGTCCTGGAAGGCATTTCACTTTTGACTGGTGTAACATACTACTTATATTTGTCAACGTAAGTAGCATACATTACAAAATATTTGTTTATAATACAATAAAATCATAAAGGTGTTTTATTTTTGCTGTTGCTGCTAGAATTGTTAAACAGCCAAGTTTATTGATCAATTTTTACTCCTTATATCAAGCAGAAAAATGTGTTGAGTAAACAATAATGATAAGTGAAAGCTATTAATTTTGGCTGTTATGTAACACAGAAAATGATCATTGAATTTAAATATTCAGAATTCTTTTCATCGCTTCATTCCAATGAAAATGTATGTCATTCCATTCTTCACAATATTATATGTCTAAAAGTAACTGAAGCGTTTAAGTCACTAAATACTCAGTTTACTATGTATGGTGTTTTTTTAAATAATGTTTTAGTTTTCTTCATAATTCTTCTCATTTCAGGATATTATCACAAACGTCTTTCAACCATTGTTCGAGGTAACTGTCAATCCTAAATCACATCCTGAACTACATGCATTTCTACAATATGTAACTGGTTTTGATTCAGTGGATGATGAATCAAAATCTGATAAAATTATTTTCAATGCATCAACTCCTACACCAGATGTATATGATTTAAATGAGAATCCTCCATACTCTTATTATATATTTTATATGTTTGCTAATATATCTCAATTAAATCAACTTAGAAGGTGAGCATTTTTTAAAAATATATTTTCGGGAATGATGGTTAGTAAGGAGAAGTTATATTTGTTACGTTTTGTTTATGCAAGTAAGCAGTCCGTTTACGAAACTTACAACTTTGATTCGATTATCCTAATTACAGTTACTTTTTTTATATACATGATTCTTATATAATTTAGGCGATTTGTGGAGATTGTTGAATTTTCACGGTTTACATTATAGACTGATTTTAGTTCAATATTTTTTGAAAACTAAGAAACAATGGATAGCTGTTTTATTATAGTATCACTATATCACGAATTTCTTGAAGTTAGACTTGCACACCACTGAATGCTGGCTCAATAGTCTGGGAGTTATTCGTTTGAACTTGATACAAAAGGGCTTGGATTCAATGTTGAAATAACTGTCCAGTGTTTTCTGTTTTTCAATTATTATCTAATTAAAAATCACTCAATGACGTGATTAATATATTATTTGTTCAGTTATGGGAATCAGTTCATGTTTAAGGTCATAATGTTTATGCACTATTATTAAATTGAAATTATTTATATATTTAAAACAGTTATTCACCTTTTAATCTCGCCAGTACTAACGAGATAATCCTCACAATTTATCTGTAAACAACTTATGAATAAAATAACATAGAATCGATCGTGTCATGATGATGCAAATCATCACGTAAAGTAGAACATAAATGCTGTCAACGTAATTCTGAAAAACATACAAAAAATTCAAAAAAATAAACAAAAAAATAATGAAACAAAATACGAAACATACATAAATAACAAAAATAAAATGATGACTATTTTTCTAAGTCTAATTATAATAAGATGATTTTTTGTTAATAAGATTCTTAATATATTGTTCATTTATTTATTTCTAAATTTCTCATTTATGCTATTTTTCCTACTGATAACTATGTACAAAGTAAAAGGAATAGACTTATTAAAATAATATGAATTCATTCATTTTATGAACTAGCCTTCAACTGTTTAAAAATTAGAAACGATATTATTAATTAAGCAGAAATGGGTAGTGGCTCTCATTGGAATCCAGGACGCGCTTTTCGTCCTATTTTGGGCTCGTCAGCTGGATGTACCTGCATAGCGGAGTTGATGTTCACTCCAGGATTCGAACCAAGTACCGTTCGCTTCAAACGTCATCGCATTATCCACTTAGCTACTGAGTCCAGATAGTCACCTGCATGTTTACTGCTAGTCACTATCCATCTTTGCTTAAAAAGCTTGTGTACTTAAGGCTATATCGAGGCAATCGCCACAGGATGCACATATGCCAATATGAAACTGATCAATTGCAGTCCTAAATAACAATGGGAAGATACAAGTAAAATAACACCATGTGGATATTAATAATTATTCAGAAAAAAAATGTTTTACATACTCTATATGTGACTCTATATAAAAAATATTCTTATTAATGAGCATTGATAAAACAACAATAAATATGGAAGAATTCTAAGAGATTTTCATATGTTTGAATAAGTCTATGCTTAATAGTGTGAATTTTCAAAATAAAATTTTTAAGAACGAGTATGGATATTTTACTGATAAAACTGTTATAAAAATTCATAATTTTAAGACCGATTATTAATGCACAAATATGTGATCTCCTACACGGGAGCGTATCTACAGACTTTTTGGTTTCGCTGGATAAACTATTAAATCAAATTACTTAATTCACGATATAGCTCGATGATCATCCGATGTAATGTTTGATAACTGTCTTACTGTTAACATATTCATACCTCACTGTTTAATGATTTCTAAATGGACTTCAGGAATCCGTTTTCTCAGCAATCGTTAGTAGGCATATTGTTACCGTTTACACAAAGAATTTGCACTAATCATTCAATTTAAGACTATTTTTCACCATGGTCTATGATAAACTGTTTGAATACGAATTATGTATTGATTTCTAACGTCCAAATGTTAAATCGAGGTAATACTTACATTTTTCCTGAATACCCATTTTCTACTGTCAATTATTCAGTAGTTTAAAAGTGTACTTTAAATTTGTCTTTCTGTTTGTATACTGCATGTTAAAATTTTATCCTAGGATTATTTTATGTGCGAAACTAGATATAGAATTGTGTGTTTATTAATTTGGGTGTTAAATTTAACTTTATGCATATATGGCATATCCATCAAAACATTAGTTGTAAACGATTTTCACCCGGCGTTATATTAGAATTCATTCACTGTGCATACACCTTTTACTCGTGTTGATTTGTCGGAGTGGAATTAACATTATCACCTCAAATGATGATATCACTTATATTTTTTGCGTCAACAGGACAATTTTCCTGCAATTCTTCAAAGCAACCTGTGGTGATAGGTGTGATCATATTTTTCTAAAAATTGTTTTATTGTTCCCATAGTCTCTTTTTATTTAATCCCTGACTAATCATTATTCATGGGAATTCAATCGATAACCATTCAATACATCATTCAGGATTGCAACAGTCAAGTAGTTGTTTAGCCTTGCTGTATTTCATAGTCGTCTAATGATAACAATAAGTTCTATTTATATAATTATCTGTAGACTTAATAAAACATAAATTTCACGTAACATTTGTTAGCCTATGGGCAATCAATTCGTGGCACTTTGTTTTCATTAACTATTCATGTTTTCTTATTCAACTAGATCGTAATGTTGCCTTTTTCATCCTATAAGCAGAATATATTAATTTAATCATGTTCTTATGTTTTTCTTGTGTGTTTTCAATTCACTTTCAGTCATCGAGGCTTAAATACATTCTCATTTAGACCTCACTGTGGTGAAGCAGGTAATGTTAATCATTTGGTTACTTGTTTCCTGTTGGCTGAAAGTATCAATCATGGTTTGTTGTTACGTAAAGCTCCTGTCCTACAATATCTTTACTATCTTGCTCAGGTAAAGTGCTTAATACTGTTTTCTTCTCGACATGCATTTATTTATTTATCATGAATGATGTGCATCTTATACTTATGTAGTTACTTACCAATTTCGCAGTTCTACAAACTGATGAAACTGTTTTATGATTGTCAATCGTGATTGAAGTATACTCATTCATCCAATCAAAAAAGGAAATTTCATAACTGCATAATTTTCTTATACTGAGACTTACTAATTACTCTTACTAGCCAAGTCATTAATAGTTTAGTTCACCAAGATGGAGGTAAGGAAGCTGTTCACCAAATAACACTAGATAATCAATACCAAGCTAGATGCTTATTTTTGTTAGCCAGATCAAAGATTTAAATAAAGCAAGAACAAATATTGATGCAGAATAGCATGAATTCATAATATTTCGAGGTTTCTCATCAGCTGCTTACAACCAAATATGTGATAAAAATTTACATTAAGATAGTGTAAAACAATTGGCATAAATGAATGTGCATAACTGGAATAATAACTATATATATATATATATATATATATATATATATATATATATATATATATATATATATATATATATTGCGATAAAAAACTTAAACCGGATTCATGCATTCAAAAAGAGACGTTAATAAACTTATCATTACCCTGGTAATTTTTTTTGTGTTATTTTATTAACAATTATTACGTAACTTATCTTATCACTGTTCTATTACCTCTAAAATAATTATCACATAATGTATAAACTCCATTCAACTATTACATCACCCACCTTTAATTTTTTCCTTAGTTCTAACACCAATTAACCTCTGACCTTTTCTAGCATATATATATATATATATATATATATATATATAGTTATTATTCCAGTTATGCACATTCATTTATGCCAATTGTTTTACACTATCTTAATGTAAATTTTTATCACATATTTGGTTGTAAGCAGCTGACGAGAAACCTCGAAATATTATGAATTCATGCTATTCTGCATCAATATTTGTTCTTGCTTTATTTAAATTCATAAAGGGAACTAACTGCATGAGATCAAAGATTGCCTGTTCTAATATTACATAATGCTCTAACATAAAATGTTTATTTTAAAGAAATATGACCTATACATTTTACAAGTTAACGACGGAATAATTGATAACCTGATTATCAGTATAGGGTTGTAGAGATTGTTTGGTTTTTATTGAGATCATGGACCATCAATTTTACATCATCATTGAAAACCTGGAATCACTTAAAGGCTGTTTCGTTCTCGTACAGGACTCTTCGGTGTTGTATATCCACGATCCACTACCGAAGGTCTTGGGTTTGAGTCTTGCTTGTGGGACCGTAGGTGCGGAATGTTGAGGAGTCCTATACTGGGACGAAACGGCCGTTAAGTGCTTCCAGGTTTTCAATGGTAGTCTAACATTGATCGGTTTATAATCTCAATTACATTGTTGGCTAATACTAACTTAGTAAAATAGTTCAGTGATTACCTGTTGTCTTTTGATGGTTTGTCTTCATTCTATTTCTTTGAAATTCTTTCATGTAGCCTTCAGTGACGATTAAAGTAAGGATGGGAGTCGACCTAGATTCTCCTATGGAAATATCCCCACTCACATGCAGAGTAAATGTTCGTTTTATTTATCTGATGTTAATTACATTTCAAAATTCTATCTGATTTTATAATGATATTTCTTAATTAGTGAACCTAGTCATGTGTTTTTTGTCTATTTTTTTTTTCTATAATGCCTCAAATCTTCAATAACAGATTGGAATAGCTATGTCACCTTTGAGTAATAATTCTTTATTTTTGGATTATCATCGTAACCCATTGAATGACTTTTTAGCACGAGGTCTGTTCGTCAGTCTTAGCACTGATGATCCTTTACAATTTCATTTTACTAAAGAACCATTGATTGAAGAATATAGTATAGCTGCTCAAGTATGGAAATTCACATCTACTGATATGTGTGAATTAGCACGTAATAGTGTTTTGATGAGTGGTTTCTCTCCTCTGGTAAGTTATTATGATAATAATTATCATTATTTGTGTAAGATTATACATTTCCTTATCTGAATATCAACTGCAGAGAAATGGTTCCGTTTTTGATGTTTTCTTCATGAAAGTTTAAAGGTATTGTATGATTTTAAGTGGTATACTCATAAAATAGAGTATATAGATATATTTTGTCATTAAGTCACATTTGTGGCACAATATTGGGCAATCGTTTATTTAAAAACATAGATATATTAACATTTTTCGATACCTTTTTAAATGAACTATATTGTAGTGATGTGTTCATCTTGTTTAACTTATGTAATTTTGAACATCCATATTTTGCAGACATTTTATTTTAGATTTAAGAGCTGAAGTTACATGTAGACATTTTTCTTGGTTCTCAGGAAATAACAATTGTTCAGCTGGTAGAAAAATACTCTTCCTGATGACCAGATTCTCAATTAACAGTATTCGAGTAACCAAACGGATTCCGGATTATTTCAAATTGGCGTATTTAGTTTAATTAATAAATTATTTCTGTATCCACAATTAAAAAGGCTAGATCTTTCGAATTAGTATCAGTTATATTCCCTCTAAAATATCTTATTATCCAATTAATGTTGACTTAAGTAAATTAGATACTGAAATGCTTTTTACACATGTTGATAGTAACAGTTTAATTATCAAGCTTACCTTGAAGCATGACGTTTGAGGGTGTAGGAGTAGGTTACAAGAACGGTAGGATCATTCGAATAGGAAAGTGATATCAGTTTATCAAATCACTGATTATCAGGTTTGTTAAATCCTATGGCCCGTCACACTACACGAGACAAAATCACCAATTAGAACACTGACTTACATGACCTTGTCCCTATGCTAAACCAATGACGCGTTAACCAGCACGACCATCTCTGAGTCCTTATTGGTCCTCTGTATGGTTGCTTCTCGCCCAACCCAGCCGTCTCAGTCAAGAACACGAATATCAGCCTCCGCTATATGAATCGTATATTTCTGACATGGTTTATATACAAACAGACCAGATCACATCACTCCATTAAATAAAAAAATAATTATACAAAATCAAGCCAA